TGCTTTTTTTTTTGGTAAGAGTTCCATCTCTGACTTTTTCCATTTGTAACAGAGCACCTCTGATGCTGTCTCCCTATGCAGAGAGGTTGGAGAGCCAGCTTACAGGAGACACATGATGGCATGTTATAGGAGTGCCAGGAAGAGATTCTAGAGTCTCCCATTTTCCAATAGCTGTTGTACATGGTTTTGATGAACATCATGTCTCCCTATCTTATCATCATGGAGATTAACTCATCTTCTTAGCACTCTCAATTGCCTCAATTGCTCTGATTGGAGTCCTGTAGGGCAGAGCAATAAACTCCTCCCATAGCCTTCCTTTAGAGTAGGCTCCGAAGTTTCCAGCTAACTCCTCATTTTCCATCATTTCTGCCCCACTCCCACTTGGCTGGGTACCCTCTAGCTCCTCCCACTGTCTTCAGTTTCCTGTTGTCAGTTATCATCTGCCATGACATCGTAAGCTCTTTGAGGACAGGGACCATCTTTTTTTTTGTTGTTGTTGTTGTTTTTTGGTATCCTCAACACTTAGTACAATGCATGAAACACAGCAGGTACTTAAGAAATACTTACTGACTACTGATTTTTGATCAAGTGATTGCAAACTTTTTCAATTGTTTGCAGTTGTGGAACCAGAAAGGAAGGGACCTTTAAGAAACCTTGGACAGTCTCAGCCTAACTCTTCACTGCTCTCTGTTGGTTTAATTCCTTTGCTGAGAGCAGCTCTGGAGAAACAGTGGGTAAGAAGACAGGCTTCAGGCTTTCCTCCCTCTGAGACCAACGCGCGGTCCCATGAAACAGACCTGGATCATTTGCCTCTGTGGTTTTGATTCTCAGTTATAGGGAAAGGGCTTGGAGATTGACTTTGTGAGATCTGAAAGATCAGAAGAGTGGTTCTCTGAATGTTGTGCCATCTCAGCATTCAGGTTTTGTAGCCAGCCCAGCATTACTGGGAATGAGAGAGAACACTGGGATCTAGTCCAGGGGTAGTTGAGTCAAGGACTTATCTTTCATTCATGGGCATCTGGAAATGAACTTGGTCAGAACAATGCTATGTAGCAATTTAGCTAAATCTGAGCCCACTGTCTCCAAAGACTGATAGGGGAGAGACACACTCCCTCCCTCAATCAAGTGTTGGAGGCGGGGAGAGTTGTAGTTTTATTCTTACTATATCTTTGAAGTAAATACCCCTTTGTAAAAGCTCATTGATGGGGCAGCTAGGTGGCAGAGTGGATGGAATACTGGGCCTGAAGTCAGGAAAACTCATCTTCCTCAATGCATATCCAGCATCAGACACTTACTAGCTATGTGACCTGTTTGCCTCAGTTCTTCATCTGTAAAGTGAGCTGGCGAAGGAAAGGACAAACCACTCTAGTATCTTTGCTAAGAAAACTCCAAATAGGGTCATGGAGAGTGGGATGAGAGTGAAATGATTCAAGAACCAAAAAGCTAATTGATACTAAGTGGCTAAAAGAAATTGAAGTGCTAGTCACAGCCATCTAAGTGGGGGTGGGGAGGGGGAAGAACACGACGCAAAGGTGTGCTGAAGTCAATTCTAACTAGCTCTCCAGCTGACTGCAATTTTCAATGCAAGCATTTGCATCTCTGAAGTAAGCAAAGACAAAAATCAGGGCTTGAGTTCTTGATATTTTTGTTGATTGTCTAGGCTTAAGAAAGTAATAGAGAAAGTGTCAACAATACATATTAAAATTAAAAGTGTGTCTTGCATACATTTTTTTGCCCTGGAGATCAGGTTGTTAAAACTTTTACCAAGGGGAACACAACTAGTCGGGATTCTTGGCAACAGTATTAGAAAAGACACTCCCAAACCTCTCAGGGGACCCCTAGAATCCTGAGAGAGAAATATAGCAAGCATTGCTCTGGTACAGTGAGACTTATTTGCTGTGTTCTTTTGGTAACTTTTTATTTGAGATACATTAAAAATTGTTCCATGAGTGCTTTTAAAATTGTGCTGTCTTGAGTACAGTTTCCTTCTGTTATGTACATATGGTCCTGTCCAGATGCTCTTCTTGACTTTAGCTCTTTGGGGGCCACTGATGCTTCCTCCTCTAATATATTAACTCAAGTCCCTTCAGTTTACAGACGGAACAGTCATTCCTTTCTGTCTGTTTCTTCGTTTCTAAAATGAGGACGATAAAACTTGCACTAGGGATTTGTCAGGAAAATATTCTGTACACCTTAGTGCGCTATATAAATGTCAGTTATTTGAAGCTTTATTTTTTCTTATTATTTGATTTTGATTTTTGACCATTGCCCTATACAGGCAGTAATATGAATTCATCGATGGCTGATTATGAAATAAATGACTTACATCTGTAACTGGCTGGTAAAATATCATCAGTCTCTGTCTTTCTGTGTCACTGTCTTTCTGTCTGTCTCTGTCTCACTACCTCTGTCCCCATTTCATTGTCTCTGTCTCTCTATATCTCCCTCTACACTGTTCATCACTCATTATATCCAAAACATTATTGTACTTTTAAAGAAAGTCTTGAAAATAATCTTTAAGAGGTTTCTGATAAATATCTAACCTCTGGACCACGCTGTATTTCCCAACATAATTTTCACTTTCCTCTATTGTATCTACCTTCATGCTAATGGCTTAGGTTGAAGGAATAAAAATTTATCTATATATTGATTCATTTGGGAAGATCTTAGCAAGTTCTTGATGGAATTTCCCTTCTGGACTCTCTGTAATAATAACAGCTAACATTTACATAGCACTTTAAGATTTGCAAAACACTTTACAAGTATGATCTCATTTTATTCCTACAGCCATGGGAATTAGGTACTTTTGTTTTCCCATTTTACCACTGATGAAAGGGAGGCAACCAGAACCTAAGAAACTTGCCCAATATCACAGAGCTAGTCAGTGTCGGAGGTCGGATTTGAACTCAGGTTTTCCTGATTCCAGGTCCAGCACTCTCCACTGTGCCACCTAGTGGCAACAGATGTCAATGCCTAAATTCGTTATTTTCATAGCCTTCTGAATGCTTATACTCCTCATGGGCACTAAAAAACCAAGACGACCAAGTATTCCATGAAATGACGGTTCTTCCTGACGTTAAGTACCTAACGAAACCATTTTATTCCCTTCTCCTAGGAGTCTTCTTACTTATCTGCAATGTCTTTGTATCTTCTATTTATATTTGGTTAAGTCTCTCCAGCAATACATTAACTCACTGGTCATTGAACAACAGTTGGATATTAAGATTACCTACAGTTTAATTTTTTTTCTAGACCATATTTATGGATGGTTCTTAAAAGTCTGTGGTTCTTAGCACTCTTGACTCTCTTTAAAAAAATATTTCATTCAAACATCAACCTACCTAAAAAAAATAATTCAGCACCTAGTGGTCAACCCTTTAGTAACAGATCCTTTAGTATTTAGTTGAGCTGGAACTCAGACCACAGACAAAGCATCACTTAGCCCGTATTTCTAGTATTCCCATATAAATTTTGAGCAGGATTAAAGAACATTTAGCCCAACTATAACATTTTACAGATGAGGAAACTGAGGATCCACTGGTATTAAGTAACAGAAAAAATATTTTAACTCAAAACTTCTGATTTCAAATTTAGTACTTCCTACTTCAATGACTGACAATTTCCAATTTACTGGCAAAGCCTTCAAGAACTCAGAGGTACTCCCATTCCCTGGGTAAGGATTTAAGCATATGGGAATTCCATCTATATAAAGTACTATCTAGCAATATGACTACCCTAAAAATCTAATTCTCTTTTTCCTTCCTGGTATCCATTTCCAATTATTCTCACTGTAGCTTACAGAGAGAAAATCTTAGTAAAAGCAGACACATATAAAAGACATGGAAGAAAATTAGTATTAGACAGGGGGAAAAATAGAGAGCCAGAGGCTTTGTGTCATTAATCTAATTTCACACTTCTGGGAAACAGATTCCACATTTATTGAGTAATGTAATTCAAATTCCGTCCAGCCTATCAGATTCTATAGTAATATCTTGATTTCAAGAAAGTCCTTGTTCCTGATAATAGACTTTTAACTACTCCTTTTCATTATTTCTATTCATTTTGCAAGCGAATAGTGTTATTAAAGTGATTTGTCATCAGTAATAAATTGTAATGCCCTACAGAAGTGAATAGTACATTTGTAACAGATTGTTCTCACTATTCTTGATGTAATTAAACATAAACATTCCAGTGTTTTATTTTTCTTACAACAAAGATAAGGAGATATTTCTTAAAGGAAGATTAATGAAAATAGCACATATTTTTCATAATTAAAAATGTTAATCACTCTAATATATTCAGAACCCTTTCTGACAATAATACATTAATATTTTCCTAACAATTCTCAATTATAAAGTATCTTTTTAGAATTTTAATTGGATTGATGCTTAAATAAAGAGAATACTTTTTTAAAACTCTAAATACTAATTAGAATGCTTTGCAGTACTTTACAAATAAAATAGATTCTCTACCATATCATTTTTAAATGAGAAAAAATAGATCCACATGCAATTCTTAATTACAAAAAATAATTAGTTTTAAACTAGCATGCAAAAATTCATTTGTAAGGTATTTCCCAAAATTAAGTCAATTGAACATTAATAAAAAGTCTAAGACTGAAACCTCCCAATGAGCTGAGGTCATAGCGATCTACTTTACATTCCACATGCTACAGAACTAGCAGTATCGAATATAAACTTAGTAAATGCCTTGTTAAATTCCACATATTCCCCTCCTTCTCAATTTCAGATAACAAAAACCTTTTTTTAAAAGAGAGGGAAATGAAAAATGGATTTTGGTGAAATGAAAGGAATCAAAGGAATTTTTTCTTTCTTTAAATTTTAAATTTAAATTTAAAAAACCATATATTATGTGCCTACTGGGTATAATGCATTATGCTAAGCACTGAGGGGGGTGGACACAAAATTTAGATAAAACACAGTGATGCCTTTATGAAACTTAAATGGCATTTCATGTATACTAAAGTACAATAAGCCTACCTGATAAAATATCATATCCGTTCCATTCTCATGAATCTTAATATTATAAACTTTAACAACACCACTTGGAAGAGGACTTGGGTTCCATGCTAGCCACACCGAATCAGAAGTGTAATTGATTATAGTCAAATTCTGAGGTGGTGCTAGCGGGGCTGTAGAAAAAGACATTACATTATTTATATTGACAGAAATTAACGACATAAAAATGACACTCCAGATTTATTTGGTCAAAGCATTGATCCACCAAGATTTATAGCACAAATGTGTTTTAGGTTGAAAAAAAAAAATAGAAACAAAACAAATACCACAACTGCTTATGTCTTTGCAACGCTAACCCGGAGTTTCCAAAGTAGATTAAAACACAACTCCGGGTCCCAGCGCTCCATTTTTAGAGGAGATCAGAAAAGCAGCTCAATAGTTGTGAACCTGTTGCAAGAAGACTGTCAAACATGCTTTACTTTTCTTTGTTGTTCCTGTTTTCAAAATAAAAGCTCCCAAAAGCAGCAAGGTGGCATTATGATGATCTCTTACCTGCCTCATCTGTGTAAAAAAAGAGCGTAGAAGAAGGACCAAGTCCTTTTCTGGTTCTTGCAGCAGCAAAAAAGCTATATAGTGTAAATGGTGAGAGCTCATCCAATATGATAGAGTTTTCAGAGGTAGTAAAAGAATAGCTTTCATTTGGTCCATCTAAAGTTAAATCATAACTTATTATAGCACCATTTGGCTGTACTGGGGGATCCCAGGACAAAAAAACTGAGGTAGAAGAAAGGTTTTTAAAAGTGTTGATTACTGGTGAAGAGTCTGGGACTATAAAAGAAAAAAAAGAATAAAAACCAAAATGAAGTTGAATTATCATTATTAAATAATTTGGCTTTAGTAACAAATGGAAACAATGTTTATTATTAGCTAATCATCTTACGAAAAAGGCTATAGGAAACTTGTAAGTTGTAATTATAAAAAAAAATTACAAAGTAAAGGTATTATTCCACCAGAAAAAAAATTATGTGAAAAGATTTAAAATAAGCAAAGGCTTGATAAATAAAATAATTATCCTCAGCCTACCATCTTCTTCAGTTTTGATGTGTAGTTGGGCTGTATACAAATCAGAGAATCCCTTTTCTGTTGCTGGAGTGACTTTTAATATATAGTCAGTGTATTTTTTCAGTTTGTCAAAAACCAGGCTTCTCTCATAAGTTTTCAGAGGTGGTCTTGTTCTACGTGGGTTTCCTTGTAAGCTCAGTGAAACATAGTAGAAGACTAGACCGTTTGGCTGAGATGGTGGGAACCAGCTGACATTTATTGCAGTTGAAGAAAGAGTTTCATAAGTCAAGTTTTCAACAAGCCCTTCTGGTACTATGATATATAATAAGCAAAACATAAGAGTCATGAGCCATTGCAATTAAAATACAAGTGAATACACATAGTGTGAGTATTTTATAAATACAATGTCATACATTTCTAGATGTGACTACTTTTTATAACTCTGATTATGGAAAATGTCAGTTGCTATAATATATCTTTCTAATTGTCTTTGTTCATTTAATACAAATAGGCCAAGGCCTTTTGAAGATAAGAAGTTAATTTCTTGTTGTATTATTTTCATGATTGTTCTTGCCAATTCATTATCCATTGAACAAATATTTAGAAGAATAATAGTTCAATTCATCAGTGGCCTAAAAGCAATGATTCTTAGCCCCTTTTGGCCCTGTTTCCTCTACTTTGTCACTATTTCTACAGAAATGGAGGGGAACTACATAGAATTAAGGATCATTTTGCATTTTTTCTTATTTTCACATATTATGATAATGAAACAGAGTTATTACCTGGTTGGCTACCTATTAGCAAGGAACCTCTTCATATTTAGCCAAACTGGTCTTAGGGCAGTAGACCACAGTCTATACCAGGACCATACACTAAATTATTGCTTGTTGATTGACTAAAATACGGCAGCCTGGCATATACTTTCATTTTGCCCCTTTAATAATAGGTTGCATATAACTTTATACTTAAAAATGTCTGTGTGTGTGTGTGTGTTTCCGCATTTCTACCAAAAAGAAAGAAAAAAGACAAATTCTATTTAGTAACTTATTTCATGGCTTGAGATGCTATCTTAGTGGTCTTAAAAGACAGATTCTTTGTAATCAGCAGATTCACTCTCCCTAGAAGTATTGGCCCCATCCAGATAAATGATGCTTTTTGCAGTGAAGCACTTGAGTTGCCATGGAGATGAGAGGTGTTGGTAACATTTTTAACTTGGACTTCTGGGACAGGTACTTCTCAAGAGTCTCATCTATATGGCAACTCAAGTGATGGGGGGGGAAACAGGAAGTTACTGTGATATAAACCACAAAAGTAGAAGCAAATTCTCTAATAGGTAAATTGTTAAATTAATTTGAAATAATTGGACCATTTCTAGTAGTGCAGATTATAAACAAAGCCACTTTGATCCTGGTGTGAATGGAAGAAAAGTTAACATCAGAACTATTCAAAATAATACAGATAAAGCTGAACTACAAAAATTACAAGGGAGTTGTCCTTGCTTTTGTGGGAGGGACTCACAGTGGGTTAATCACAGATCTAGACAAAAAAGTCCAGATATTTATCTTAAACCCAAAATCTGTATTTTTAATTTTAAAATCTTAAAACAATGACAAAACTACAAAAGTCCAAAATTCCCATTTAAAACCATTCCTTTCATTTCTTCCTCCAAAAAATAAAAAAAAATCAGGTATGTAAAGCTTTTAATTACATTCCATGCTTTGAGAAGTTTCTATTAATCAATTTGAGAGCTATTGGAAATTAAGAAGGCCTGCACCACCTGGGTTTCTGTTGACAGTATGCACCACTGGGCTGAAAAATAAATATTGCTGAGACTGACTCACAGATCTGGCTTAGGGCAATAATATTTCCTAACATTAATCAAAACAATAAGAATAATACTAGCACTGGGGGGGTAAGGAAGATGGAAAAGTAGGTAATTGTGAATATGGCACTGTAATCTCAAGAGGAATCCTAAAGAAATAATAACACGCATACAATGTTACAAGGCACACAATTATCATTACAGAACACTGTAGAAGCAACAGATAAGTGGTTGTGAATAGAAGTAATTTAGGATGTTATAAACACATCAATTAAAAATGAATTTTTAAAAAGTTAACATCAATAATGTTGAAGAAAATCCTTCATGAATCTCCAAACACTGAAAAGGTCAAGATTATGTTAATCATTAATATTCACATTAATGTAGCAATCTATAAAGAGAATTATTAATACTTTATATTAATAACATTACATATTGTATTGCTATTAATATATTAAACTATAATTTATAAGTGATTTTTAAATTACTAAAATAAATTTTCTAATATAAATCAGGTTTGAGGGAAATTATGTCATTAATTTAACCATCATATACAGAGTACTAATATTTTTGAAAATCAATAAATATTCTATTTTTAGAAACTATTTCCAGAGGCTGAAGAAATAAAATAGCATTTTCACAGCAATATAAAATGTATTTTAAATTAATATTTTTTCTAACTAATGATTCATAAACTTACTTGTTATCTAAATAAAGCATTCAAAAGACTTAATAACTAGTAGAGATAGTTTGTAAAAGCTATTGAAATCAACTTTAAATATCTAAAGTTAAATACATTTCTTAAATTAAATGTTGTCTCAGTTTACATACTGTCTTGATCTGTGTATACTTGAATTATGTCACTGGTTTTGTTCCCATTTCCAACTGAAGTACTTGCTGTCACCCAGAATACATAGTAGCTGAATATTGCCAAATTTTCTATTACTGCAGATATAGTCATATTGTCAGAGAAACTGACTACGTCATGGAGAGTGAAATTCTGAAATATAAATACAATGTTTGTGGTAATTTAGACTGAGTTGTTCTTAATTGCACATATACTTTTCAAGATAATAGTCGGTAGTATAAAATGTTCTATTGTAGCCTAAAATTCACCATAGGTCAATATTATTCTCTATCCTGGGAATTCATAAACAGACTTTGGGGACTGAAAATCAGTTACTTTGTACAATTCTTTATCATATATTCTATAAATATTTGGTGGAATAATAACATTGGATCGTATTAATGTTGCTAAGGTTTACAAGGTACTTAACATGTTATTTCATTTGATCTTCACAACAACCCTAGGAAATATCATTATTACCCTCTCATTTTTCAGATGAGTCAATATGGCTCCCTTAATTTGCCTGTGATCATCAATCTAATGAGTATTAGAGGCAGAATTTGCAATGATTTCTCCTGACTCCAAGTTTAATACTTTTTTTACTCTGCCAGGCAGTATCTCCCCATTCATACTGTGATAAATCATCAAAGTATGTGTTCTTTTTTCCCTAGAAACTAGAAAAAAAAGGATAGTAAGATCTAATGGATAAAGATTGGCCTTGGAAGGAGGAAACCAGGCACAACCTCTGACGTTTGCTAGACATGTAACCCTGGGCAAAGTTACTTTACTACTCAGTGGTTCAGGCAACTATTTAAAGGTATAAATTGAAGGGAAGGTGATGACTTGCACTGGTCTCTTTAGCTATAAACAATATAATTTGTTAATTAAGATAATCATGCAAAATTTAGAGTGCTACACTTGTGTTTACATTTATTATTATGTCATTAAGCCCTCAAAATAATTCTGTGAAGCAGGTGGTGCTGATATGACCCATCTCTTCTGCAGATTGGGTGACAGACACTGACAAATAAGATATATTTCTATCCATATTACTGATGAAACAATTTTCCTAAGGACAAGTCTGACCACGTCACTTGCCTACTCAGACATCTTTAATGTCTCCTTATTACTTCTATGGTAATCTACACACTTAGCCTTTCATAATATGGTTGTTACTTATTTTTCTAGAATTATTTCACATTATTTCCCCTTCCAATGCTCCATATTCCAGTCAAGCTAACCTAATGAGTGTTCCTTGAACTTGACCAGCCACGTCCCATTTCCCTATTTTAGCCCAGGCTACTCCCATGCCCGGAAAGCATCTCCTCTCAACTCTGCAAGTGGCATCTGTGTGGTCGTCACTTAACTCCTTACAGCCTCAGTTTTCCCAACTATCAAATGGGAAAGCTAGGTCACAATTTACATGAATGATTGTTAATGAAGGGTACAGAATAAAGAATAGATCTCTGAAGAGGATGACATATCAGTATGGGCTTTAAAATGATCTAACAAGGCTACAAAACCATACTAAAGACATTGTACCCTTGCAGTTGTCATTACTTGTTCTGGTCAGTCTCTGGTAATTGTTCACATTCTATCTGCATCATTTCTGTACCATCATTCCAAATTCTTTAAATAAATAATGTATGCATTTATAGTATCTTTAAGACTAATTCTAGAGGGGGAAAATAGACAAATGAACGTTGAGAAATATGAGAATCTCTATACCTCTTGATACCTTTTAATGTGACCACCCTGTGTAGCTCTGTGGTCATCCCACATTTCAAACCATACTTTAAAATAGTTATTAAAGGCTAAATGTGTCAAAATTGGATGAATAGCAAGTGACAAAATATTTTTTTTCAAAAAGGAATGCTATTCATGTTTACATGAAGAAGCTCCTAATGGCACATTTAGGCCCTATTTTACATGGTCACTGCACAGATGATATGGTGCTTACTTTTAATCATTTAAATTGAGGGCTGAAGACACTGTTATGGACAACAGGAAATGACAGCTAATCCAGGAAGCATTCAGTTCAGATAAAAAAAAAAGAGGTTATTATATAAATGCTATACTAGTAAATATTCATTTGTTGATTTTTAAAATGCAAATATAGTATTTTAGAAGCTACTCTAATTTTTTTGTCAAATTTACTGAAGTGGCATATTGCTTCCATTTGAATTATAATTCATATCAAATATATGGGAATATGTGTGTCTCAATGTCAAATTTCATTTTATGTCAGGAATAGATTTGAAAAAAATAATAGAATTTTAATTATAAAGGTAAACCCAGCTTTCTTTGCTAGAGATCACCTGTTTTATCACTGATGGAAATTAAAAGAGTGGGGAAAAACTGAGGGAAAAATAATGTCTTACCTGCATAAAAGTACCTGAATTATTTTGGTAATAAACAGAATAGTATTTTATAATCCCATTGGGCTTTGAAGGAGGATCCCAAAAAAGAATTATTGATGAGGAAGTGAGGTTTGCATAATGGACATCTTTTGGTGGATCGCTGGGTTCTGGAGGAAAACAAACAGTATTTATCTTCCCAAACACTGGTAATTATGTTTTAGGTGCCTATAATTTCAATGTTGCTGTTGTTTTAAAATTTTTGGTTATGTTAAAAATGATAGATGCATTTTAATCAAGTTCACTAAAGGAGTGGAATAAATCTGACAAAGATAAGTTTTCACTTTTTTGGGAGGAAGGGTCAGCAGAACTGAAGAACTTGGGGGCGGGGAGCACTAAAATAATACAGCAAAGAATTCAACGTAAGCCAGATCCTATGTCTCTGGATGATATAACGGGTTTGCTACAACAAATAACAGAATGAACTCATAAAACACTGTTTCTTCTTACAGAGCTATTGCCTAGGATCCAGAGGGCAACATTATAGCAAGGCTGGAGTCATATGCCATGTGGAGACCTAATTAAGCAAGGAATTATGGGGTTATGCAATATACAAATAAGGGACAGAGGAAAATACATAGCAGATAATTCAATGTTGTACAGTTATGTCAGTGTTACATTTTGGGCTTCGGTGCCACTTAAAATAAACAACATCTTATTTAGGATTTGACATATGATCCTTTTTCTTTCTGAACAGAATTACATTTTTCATTAGCTTGTTTCCATGAGAACTTACCTCCCTCTGGTGTCCTAAAGCTAATGAGGTTACTTTTAATTTTTCCATCACCAAATCTTGTGCTTGCTGTGACATAGGCATTGTATTTAATATTATTTTCCAAATCTGAATATTCCAATGATGTTTCAGTTACATTAATAGCTTTTAGTGATGATTTATCCCTAAAGAGAAAGATGATATATACATATGTAATTACACATCTGCTTAAAGTGACAAATATAAAAATCACACATACAAATTCTGAGTTTAACAATTGGAAGTTACCGAAATGCACAAAGAGAACCTCATTAATTTGTTATAAATGGGGTGAATTTTTTAAAAAAAATCATGAATGATAAAATATTTTATAAGAAATGTAAGCCTATTACTTTCAAGTACATCCTTAAAGGTAAGGAAACAAGTATAAATCTTGCCTCAGTATGCTTGCTAGCTGACCCTGACCAAGTCATTTCATTCCTTTCAGCCTCGGTTTCCTCACCTGCAAAATAAGGGGGTGAATTTGATGGAATCTTTACTTTATTTTTTTAAATTTATTGCAGGTGAACAATGAGTTAATTCTAGAATTAAACAGAAGAAAGAAAACAGGCTGGACAGAGTTGATAGGAAGTATGCTCCTTGAAGGAAGGGACGTTTCAATGTTGTTTTTGTATCCCAAGGACTTAGTATGTGCATTGTACATAGTAGGTGCTTAATAAATTCTTGATTAATTGAATAGATTTCCTTTGGAAAATTCTGCAGTGCTTTTAATGATTCCTAAATTCTCCCTGAAATAAAGGCCCATCTTTTAACACCAATATTATTCTGACGATACTGTACGACTGTGAGTCATGGAATCTAAAGAGGTAAGGTTTTGGAAGAAGAGCTACATGATGAGCGTGCATAGCCTGCAATACATCACCAGTGAAGAATTGTACAGAACTGTGTGATATAGCATCAGAGAGATTCAGGACCAAGGAAGGAGGTAATCAGTCATGAAACAAAAATGAAAGATAATGCAACAGATAACATATTCCACCAATATATACACAAGGGCTGGAGATCTAAAGAACACTCCCACCCCTGGCACATTGGGTGGAATCAATGGGGAAGATTTATGGAAAGACAAGACCAAGAGTTGCACAGAATGGGAAGGCTTGAATGGATTGTGAACTGCACCACTGGACTAAGAACCCACATCAATGAGGTCATGAGCTCTTGAAATACTGAATCTAATGCAAATACATACTCCTGACTTGGAAAAAAAAATTGGACTTTAAAAGCATAAGAGTTTGAATGCCATTCCGGTCCTTACTAAGGGTCTTGGTGCAAGTGATTTAGTGAATTGGGAGGCTTCAGTTTCCTTATTTATAGAATAAATAGGCTGAACTAATTGATATCTTAGGTCCCTTCCAGGCAGGGCCAGCTCAAGCCAAGAGCCCATTGTTAAATTTCCAGTGAAAATATTTACACTTCAGAAACTAGCAAACACTACAAATCAGTGCTGGATTTATTGTTTTGTTGGTTATCTAGACTTAAGAAAGCGATGGAAAAAATGTCAATAATGGATATTAAACTTAAAAGTGTGTCATATACATAGGTATAGTTTTTTGGAGAGCCAGTTGTTAAACATTTACCAGTATACCCTTGATTCCAGCTATAAAATCCTCTACACCAAATTCATTTGACAACATTAAGCATGCATTGTATGCATGACACCATCTTAGGGACTGGGAATAAAAAGACATGAACTGAAAAACCTCTCATGATCCCAAATGGCTTACATTTTATTCGAACAAGCATTATATATGCCTTATAGAATTTTATATCTTATTCTAATTATGGAAACTTTTTTCCTACAGTTTTGAAATATGCGTGGGTTAAAATCTTTATAGTGTCCTAAGGCATTATTTGGTGATTTTGAAAATGAACTTGTTTGTTTTCAATGCCTCAGGACACTGGATAATAAGAAGAGGTAATTTTAAGGACATTAACAGTGATAACTAAAATAATTAATATCAGATATTATTCAGTTTCTCATTCATTCCATTAATTTTTATTGAGATATTACTATTTGCAAAACATGGTGGTAGGAATTGTAAGGAAGAATAGGGCACATTCCCTGCCCTAAAGTGGCTTATAATCCAGCAGAAGGGCTTTCATACTCCCAGGCATTACTTTGTTCCCACAGAGGCAGGCAAGTCTCTTTAAAAATGAGATTTTTAACTGAAAAATAGTTGGAAAGCTCATCATAATGAAAAATTATTGAACCAGTTCATGAGATTGTAGACAGACTGGATCAGGCAAATGAGATCCAACTGTCAACAGTTTCATTGGGCATAACTTTATAGATATGGTGGTGACAGCTTTCTTTACTATCACTTTTGACATACTATGAGATCTTTAAATAATTTTTATGCTGCATTTATCACTCTCAAACCAAAATGATCTGATCTAGTAACTCTATCCAATTCTATACTCTTTTCATTTGTCACAGGTCATCAAAATACTATGAATAGCTAATCAAATTTAACTCTGGAAAAAACTGATAATGTCGTAAAATAAACTACTTAAGTTACTTTCACATTGAAAATTTCATTTTAAAATATTTTAAATATGTATGCCTTCTTCCTGGAAAATCTACCAGAGCACTAAATCTCCCTAGACCCCCAAAGCCCTTAATATTTTAATAAATAATATAAAAAAGGAAGATAAAAATGTTGTTGTTGTTGTTACTATTGTTGATATTTTAAATAGGATAGAAAAACATCAATGTAAGGTACCCTGATATTTTTGGAGCTTATGTTAGTAGTTAAAGCCATTTCCTTACATGGTGTATCAAATCATAAGTTGTCATAATACAAATTTGGTGGTTCTATTATTGACAATTAAGAGAAATTTTCTCCAAAGAAACATGAGCAGTTCTGTTTCCTTTAAATTCTATTTGTTGTCTACAAATTCCCTGGTTCAGCTAGATTTTATGCAAAACTCAGACACTGTGATGAATACATTATTAATTAAGATAACCAACAAATCTTAAATGTGACAAACACCAATTAATGCCAAAAAAAACCCTAAATGAACAATGTAGTAACAGACTAGAAACACCTGATTATTGATTTTGAAATTATTTCAGAATCTGTTGACAGTTTTTACTAAGATCATCCAATGTTTAGAACAAACTTTTTCAAAAAAATCCAAGTTAGAAGAAAGGATAAAGATGAGAAGGAATAAACTATGTGTTACCATAAGCCCTCCACCATTTGTTTAAATATTCTAATGAAAAAATAGGGAGGAAGGAAGGAAGGAAGGAAGAAAAAGAAGTGAATGAATAATGACTATTATAAAGATTCTGATGTGATGTTAAATGAGAAATCTATAGAGTTCATCTATTGCATATGTGTGCTGGTAAATATTTAATAACTGACTTTCCTTCCCACAAAAGGATGAATGACATACTTTTAAGTTTAATCTGCATTGTTAATATTTTCTACATCATCTCATAAGTCTAGACAATCAATAAAAGAATAAATCTATATTATTTTGCTTGTATCATTGATGTGTAACATTTTCCAATTTCTTAGATGTAGATGCTAGCACTGAAAATTTGACAATTGGTTCTTGCAAGCTACAACGAGCCAACTCCAGCAGATTCTGTCTGTCTGTCTGTCTGTCTATCTATTGAGCTGAAAAGACAATACCAAAGATATATATGATTAGAAAAGGAGACAAACTGATCATGTAAGGGAAAGTGAGGGGATCACACTCTAAATATCATATGGGTACCCAGAATTACTAAAAAGAACCAGAGGATGACAGAGTCACGATCCAAAAAATCATGACAGGCTACCTTAACAACAACAAGAAGTTAGCTTTTATATAGCACTTTAAGGTTTTGCTGCAGGCTTTACAAATATTATCTCATTTGATCCACTCAACAATCATAGGAAATTGGTGCTATTATTACCTTCATTTTACAAATGAATCTGTATGAATGGATCGATCTAAAAAGATAAAATTCAGAAGCTATTTTTGCTTTCTTTTATTCCTTTTTTTAATTTGAGTCTTCTTGTACAAAATGACTAATATGGAAATGCTTTACATGATTGCACATGTATAAAATGTATTGGGTTGCTTACCATCTCAGAGAAGGGGGAGGGGAGGAAGGGACAGGATGTGGAACTCAAAACTTTTTTTTTTTGGTGAGGCAATCGGGGTTAAGTGACTTGGCCAAGGTCACACAGCTAGTAAGTGTTAATTGTCTGAGGCTGGATTTGAACTCAGGTCCTCCTGACTCCAAGGCCAGAACTCTATTCACTGCACCACTTAGCTGCCCCTGAACTCAAAACTTTTAAAAATTGTTATAAAAATTGTTTTAACATGTAATTGGGGAAATAATATATATTATTAAAAAGAAACAAATGTAAAGTTTTATAGATTCTAAAAGCCACTTCACAAGTACAGGATAGGAGAGTCATGGTTAGACAGCAGTTTGTCTCAAAAATATTACACTACAAACTAAATATAAGTCAGTAGGATGGTGTAGTAGCCAAAAAAAGTTAAGGCTATCTTAGGCTGTATTAAAGCCAGACCTCATGCAGAGAACCGTGTTTAGTTCTGGACACCTCAGTTAAGAGAGACTTTGACAAACTAGAGAGCATAGCAAAAAGAGGTCTAACCATGATGGTGACAGGCTTTGAGTCTATGTCATATGAAGATGTTTAACAGAAGAAGAGAAGCCTCAGGGAAATGGATTAGCTATCTTCAATTTTGCTTTCTTCAATATTGCTTGGTAGTGCAATGGGTAGAGCAGTGGGTCTGGAGTCTAGAAGACTTGAGTTCAGATCTGGCCTCAGACACTCATTAGCCATACGACCTTGGCCAAATCATTCAATCTGTTTGTTTCTGTTTTTTCACCTGCAAAATGTGGATAACAAAATAGTATGCATCTCACAGGGCTGTTTGTAATGCACTCTGCAAACCTTAAAGCACTATATAAATTATTTTATTTTTATTATTAAAAAAGAGGAATCAGACTTATTCTGTTTGACTCTGAGGTCAGAGCTCAATTTAGCTCTGATGCCAGAGAACATTTCCTAAAAATCATAGATACACAAAAATAAGATGGGCTTCCTTGAGGGGTGATAGGTTCCCCCTTCTTGGAGGTCTTCAAACAGTGGCTCCC